CGCCTCTTTGTCTTTTTTTAATTGGAGACACCAATTTTAAGGTCAGTAATTTTATATTTAGTGTTCAGGGGTGGCAAGATGGTTTAATAGTATGCATTTTTTGGTTTTATTCTAGGTGCATTGCATTTTCCTGGAATTCCTGACTTTATTGAAGATGGAACCATGTGGGTTTGTTTTTTTCCACCAGATTTGCTGTATACTATGTAAATTGCTGGGCAGACACCACAGGGGAGCTCGCACATGAAGGAGACAAGGCTTTTTGGAGACACCCAACAGAGCCTGGATAGGCAGGGACCCCCACAGCCCTGCACCCCAAGACGCTGGCAGGGCAGAGCTGCAAAGAACTGGTTTCAGCCTCCCAGGCCTGCACTTCAGGGCACAACCACCTGCTGACATCTCAGACATTGCCACCGTGTCCCTGCTGTCACACAGAGGTGTGCCCACTGCATCATCCCCAGCCTTGCATCCGATCTGGAAGGAGAGTCCTGCCCTCTCACCAGGGAGAGCACAGCCCCTGCCAGGCCTCCAGAGCACCATCAAGCAGATAGTCCCCACCACATCCCAGGAAGCAGAAGAGGACCTTCACAGGAGCAGGGATTGAGGTGTGCACAGTCTCTTCCCACCCACAGCCAGCTTTAGAAAGCAGACAGGGAGGGGAAAGCCTTGCCCACAAACCACACAAGCAAGAGTAAGAAACCACACAGGACTAGGAGTGGAAGAGTCTTTATTGCTTTGGTTTCTTACAAGTGAGATATATGCATCTAGGCTTGCTGCAAGGAGACACCCACATTGCATTCAGCTTGCAGCACAGCACAGGGGACACAGGGACACTAGGCACACAAGATTCAGTCTCCCTGCCTTCTCCCAGGCACCAGGGAAGAGAGACCCTAGGAAAGTAAGGCAGCTGCCAGCTGTTAAGAGTAAAGGATTGTGTGAAAGGTTATTGCTACAAGACCGGAAAGGTCAGGGACAGCTTCTCCAGAGCCTGCAAAGGACACTGGCTCCTAGTTTAGCCTTCTCAGCAGACAGACTACAGTGGGAACACAAACAAGTCCTTTCCTCTACCAGCCTCTGCTCCCTCTAGGGAAGATCAGGGCAGCCAGAGGCAAGTATTAAGAGCCAGAAAGCCAAGGTGGCATTGGTGCTGACCCCAGTGAGGCTTTTGTTCTCCTTAGCTGGGAAGAACCCAGATCAAAGATGCTCCTCCTGTAGAGCTGAGCACTCCCCAAGCCCCTCCTCACCCGCAGCTGAGCCAGTGCTGCTCTGCTCACCGAGGGGATGCTGGGCACCTCCATGCTCGTCCTGCACATACACATTACTCATTCAAGCAAGTGCCTGGGGCAGAGAGACCTTCACATCCTCCATCTCAAGAGGCCTGGCAGCATCCCGTGACACTGGCACAGTACTGCCTCCCTTGCTCACTCTCTGAGCACAAAGAGGGGACAACCCCCTGGCCCCTCTCCTTTGGGGAACCTCAGTACCTTCTCCTTCCACTCTTCCCGTCTCCAGGAATGGGCACTGCGAGGATGCTCCCATACCTGATTGAACCACACAGAAAAGAAAGCCAGAGACTAGGACAAAACAAAACCAAACTGGAACAAAAGTTACGAGTCGGGCCCCAGCCCGGGCACCCCACCAGAGAGCCAAAGGGCACGTCAGCAGAGGAGCCAAGCCAGCTGGCAACCAGCGCTCAGGCATCCACGAGCGTCAGCCCATCGTGCAGGGCACGCTTCCACATGTAATAGGTGGAACGGGCTGTGAGTGGGAAGCGGGCACTGAACTCCTTGTAGGTGGGGAAGGTCTTCGACTCGAAGCGCTGCTGCAAGAACAGCTTGGCCTGTGCCTTGAACTGGGCAGTGGCAATCACATCCATCACGAACATCCGGCTGTTGGCTCTCTCTGACATGGCATAGCCTGAAACGGTGGTGTTGTATGGCGTGGCCGATGCTGGCTTATCTAGGTGCTTGGTAGCTATCTCCATGCAGCACTGGGGCTTGAGGCCTGGCTCCGCTCTCGGAGGCACCAGGGAAGCCACCCGGTTCAATGGCTGGCCAGAGCTGGTCCAAGGCAGGTGATGCTGCCCGAGGGCCTGGCCACTGCCCTTCCAAAACCAGTAGGCTGTGGAGGAGAGAGATGGGTAGCGCAGGCGGTACTTGCCGAATGGCAAGAATGGCAGCCGCCACTGCTGGACCTGCCTTCTAGCCACATCTCGCAGCTGCTTTCTCCAGCACAGAGAGGGCTTGAGCTGCAGGAGACTCCTGGGTGCCGGCCGGTCTCTGTTCAGCCTCTTCCTAGCAGGCACGCTGCTTGGCTTCAACTGCAGGAACGGCTTTCCTATCACTAGAGGTTTCTGGTTATCCAAGGCAGACTGGGGAGGTTTGAAGTTGGGGTTCTCCTTGATTGCTTTTCTTCTCCAGTTGTAGTAAGTGGATCTGGAGATGCCAGGGAAGCTGCGCTTGAAGCACCTGTAAGGCACCAGAGTGTTCATGGAAATGCATTTCTCCAGGTAGGATTTGGCTCCTTGCATGAAGATTCCTGCTTGGATGGGGTCTAGGGAAGGACTTGGGGATCTTAAGCTCCCCCCTGAATTTGCTGGCTCATCCACATCAGCCTTTTTTGGGACATCCCTGTGAAGCTCCTGCAACCTGTGGGCCTCAGCCAGAGCAGAGGCATCACCATTGACCATGCTCTGCATCTCATGCTTCCAGGCGTAGTACGTGGATCGGGAGATTTCTGGAAACATTTGCCGGAAGTGCTGGAGGGGGATTATATTGCCCTCCTGAAAGCAGGACTGGAGGAAGTGTTTAGCTGCAAACCTGGCAGCTGCTTTTTGCCGGTGTTCACGAGACTGGCGCTTCCAGCGGTAGAAGGTGCTTTTGGTAATGCTGTAACGGTCACGCAGGTTGGAGTAGGTCAGCTGGGGGTCACTGTTCAGCAGCTCAAGGGTCTTCACGGGCTGGACAGGAGGCTCAGGTGGAGGCATTGTGGGTTCTAGCTCCTCCAGGCCAACCACAGCCACAAAGTACTGCGCTTTGAAGACCTGCCGGGAGAGCTGCTGCCCTGACCACATGATGTGGAGCGTGGAGGTTCGCGGGCCACACTTCCTGGGCCGGATGAGCCGGTTAAAATAGGGCCGGATCTTCAAGTTGCTCATGGGGTAGATGGAGTAGATGTTACACTGCAGTACTGAGGCAAGAGCATAGACGTGCCACATGTTGGCAAAGGTGCCAGGAAAACAGGTAGCTTTGATATCAGCATCAAAGATGGCCTCCAGGATAGCCATGGGGAGGCTGGTCATCTCTGGGGTCTCCTCAGTGCAGAGGGAGTAGCGGGCAGCCTGCAGCATCACCTTGGAGTCAATCATGCCATTCAAGTAGTATTGCTTGTGCAGCAGCATCTCCACCACTGTACGCACCTGCAGCTCCAGGCTGAGGCTGGGGTTGCCCCAGAGCAGCACGCTGGCGGCCTCAAAGAGGCGGTTCCCCTCACCTTTGCAAACCAGAGGCAGCATGTTACTTGGGGCATCCTCAGGATAGAGGCTCCTGGCTACCCGGTCAACCTCCAGCTCCTCTTGGAACTGCCTTCCACAATAGCCAGGCAGGGAGAAAGATGACAGGGTCCTCTCCGCCTCCAGTGCAGCACTGGTGAGGCCCTCCAGACCAAAGCATTCGGTGGCTTCCTGCAGCTCCTGCAGCACAGACTGCACCAGCTGGTGCCGCTGGATCATCCTGAAGGATGGCAAAAAAAAAGAAGTCACTAGAGATGAAGGCAGTGCACGCTCCAGACTGCCAGGGGCCTGGCCTCCAGGTCCAGCTCTTCCCCAAAGGACAGGATGGGGAAGAGGGTAGAGGAAAGGCCACTGCTCACCTGTCCACCCACGCTCCCAAGGACAAAGGAGGAAGCCTGGGTCCCCACAGGCAGACCTGGGACAGGGACATGGGCTCAGCTTGCTCTCCAGTGACCTCCTGTGGGCAACACACATGGCACACAGCCTCCAGAGACATTTGTCTAGGTGAAACTAAGGAGTGACTGCATCCATCAGGGTGAGAAGCCAGGTCACCTCCTACCCCTGCACACCTGGCTTTGCGCCCAGCCTCACCCCTCCCACCAGTAGCTCCATCCCTTCCATTTTACCACCCTGCCACCAGCACCCAGAGAAAAGAGAGCCTCAAAGGGGAAACATTTGTAATGTCTGCAGGAAGGGACCTGTGACAGAGCAACACTGCGTGGGGGTGTGGAGGGACCCCGCTCAAGGTGTTCAAGCCCAACAGAAGGAGGGAGCTTGCCCCCTCCCTCAGAGCAGGGCACTGCAGCCGCACCCATTGCATGCACCGAAAACTGCTGTCATAGAACCTGGGATGGAAGGAAGAGCCGGTAGCCGGAGCCAGCTCAAGCCACGGTTACCGCTGCCTGAGCTGACACTAGGTGTCACTTGCTGCTCAGCAGACACACACCACCAGCCAGGGAGGAGCTGCAAAAGGAGGGCTTCTCCTGGATGGGAGCTACCAGGCAGGAGGCAACCCAAAAGTGCAGACAGAGCATGAGCGCTGGGTGGGTAGTTTAGAGTCTGTACGGAGCTCTCTTCCCTGCCTGAGCCTGTCCCGGTCCTGTCCTTCTTCCCTCCCTCCGCACGCCAGTTCCCACTCAGGCAATCCAAAGGGTCAAACCTGCATTTCCCTCTTTGTTAGCTTTTTGACACCTACATGGCTCTGCCCCGCCACTCCAGGAGCTTTCATGACGACTGCGCAGTCCTTACCCCATGATCCAGCTCCATCAGTGCAACCCTCCTCAGCACCTTTTCCCCACCAGCCAGCTCAGGCCCCTCACCCCAGCCAGCCCAGTCTCTCCCTCTTGAACTAGTTTTTCCCCCAGGGACCACAACACTTCACTCAACTAGGGAACCTAATCTCCTCCATTTTCTCCTAAGGCTTATTCACATGCCACCTCCAACATGTAGGGCATCACTTTGTAGTCTCCTTGATTCACATCCCAGCCAGGGACCCACCTTCTCACAACACTTCACAAGTATCACTACGCACTTCCAGCTCCACAGGGAGATGGGGAAACAGTAGAGCCAGGCAGGAAAAGCAGCAGCTTTGCAGTAAAGCAGATGTCCTGCCTGACCTTTCCCAATTCTCAGCTCTGCTGCAGATAAGGTTATTATTGCTGTAGCATCTACAACCCCTGGCCATGACCAAACAGCAAACAAAACAAGGTGCCACAGAATCACACGGCCGCATCCTGGCTAGTTCACCACAGGGAGCCTCCATGTTGCTGCTGCCCCTTGCCTTTAATCAGGCCACAGCTAGTCAGCAGAGCCTTCCCCTGCTCCAAGCTCCTCCACGGTCTCCTGCATGTTCCCACAGCTGTGGCGCATCAGGTATCGAAGACAATGCAGGAGAACACATACAGCTGTGAAGCAGGGGAGATAAACTTGGCTGAAAATCCTGGTGAGCAAGTAGGGGGTTGTCACTTCGGGTCAGGTCTGTATTTTTGTTCTCCTGGAGGTTCATAGAAAGTTATTCTGCAGAGCAGTGTTTTGACTAAGCCCATGGTGAACAACATGCTCGAGAAGCTGAAGCAGAGGTGTCCCTTGGGAGAGCCGCAGGGCTGGCAGAGCCCGAGTTCTCCTTCTCCATGGCCTGCCAAACCCTTTCAGTGCCCGCCAGCTCCCCCCATAGCAGCAGCCGCCACCTCCCCTTTCAGCCCCTGCAGCCCAGCTGAGCACTCGCCTGCCAGCGGAACCAGGAAAGACAAGACAAGCTTTTCCCCTGGAGGGGTTGAGGAGCTGACGCAGGCTAGGGAGCATCAGCAACAACCCTGGTCTTTATGGCCTGGTGGGCATTTCCCACCCCCTTATAGCTTGCGGGGCTGGGGGGAAGGTGGGTAGAGGGAGAGCTGGAGGTACAGGACTTAATCCTTTTCTTCAGTGATAACCCCACAGCCTCAATGTCACTGCCAGCTCCTGCTGCCCAGAGCAACAGGTCCTCAAAAGCAATCCTAAGGCAAAACCCACAGCTGAAACAGCACAGATGAGCTCCCAGCACAGGGTGGAGAGGGGCCGGGTAAGGCAGAAACAGAAGTCAGCCAAGCTGGGGGCTTGGGTTCATCACTGAATAAAACCCAGCAGCTCTCAACACAGAGGACCTGCTGCTAAGGGAACATTTTTCCCCACACACGAAGCCAGCTGAACACGACAGACAAGTGCTCCCTAAACTGCCTCAGCACCAAGACGTAACCAAGGGAGCTTTTCACTGCTGATAAAGGAGGTTTTACCTAACCTGGCCACTTTTGCATTGTAACAGATAAGCAAACACTTGCAGATCACGTTCCCTCACCTAAATTG